ATTGCTCCATGAATTGTGCAAATGCTTGAAATAAGTCATTTGAAGCAATTCCTTTTGGCATTCCAAAACCTAAATCAACATCCTCCATTGTTCCTAACAAAGCAATAAGTGCCTCAAGGTTCTCTCAGTGGAAGCACCAATATGTCTTGGAGAGAGAGTTTGCCTTTAGAAAATACTAGGCTCCTTATTGCTATTGATTGCTCTACTATATTGTAATTCTAGAACATTCATAACTTTCTATAAAATATGATTTCTTTTTGAATTCACTTGCTCTCATATCAAAAAGTTCCTTTCTTTTAATATATATATATATATATATATATATATATATATATATATATATATATTTTAAAAAAAACAACAAACAAACAAATAAACAAAAATAAAATAAAACAAAACAAAACAAAATAAAACAAAACATAAGAAAGCCAAAATTCCCCTGAAGAGTCTTTATATCTCCCTCCTAAGACGATTGCCCTTCTTTTCTCTAAAATTTTTCTCCCTAAATCCTACCTCTAAATCCTAAATCCTAAATTCTACTTCCAAATCCTAAATCCTAAATCCTACTTCCAAACCTTAAACCCTAAACCCTACTTCCAAACCCTAAATCTTAATCCTATATATATATATAATTTTTTTGAATATGTATATGTCTTAAAATATATATATATATATATATATATATATAGGGTTGAGGATTTTAAAGGATTGATGCCATTGCACTTTAAGCCACTACCAACTTGTGGCTTCTTCCTTTATAAAGGAAGCTATATACCAATCTATCAAGAAGATGAATATATAGAAGGTATGGGCATCACACATCATGCTACTATTAAGGGAGATTCCTCACTCCTGCCCATAGGTGATAAGTACCCTTATCATCTAACATAATTCCTTTATACAAGTATTGTAGGGCCAATCCTCTAGATATCTTCAATAAATTAATTAAAGATTTTTAGAGAATTTTCTTCTATCATCTCCTTTGCATGTGCCACTATGGGAATTTGAATCCAAAACTTTTTAGGCACCACTCAAGCACCCTATCATCTATCCATTTCCACAAGCTCAAGTCACCACTTGATGTCTACAACCTCAATTCTTTCCCCTATAAGCTTACTACCCGACCTCTTTTCCTTCTTTAAATCTCTATTTCTCACAAATCATAACTTATTTTTCTATAAAATTTATACACTTATTTATAGATCTATTAAAAATATTTCCACAAATTTTTATATTAAATGGATACTTTAAAATTTTAATTATACTAAATCCTAATTTCTCCTTGTATAAACTTACTTTTTAATTTCTATCAACTACAATACTTATTGCTAATAGAATTCACTTATTTATATATATTTTTTATTAATCTTTATTCTGATCTAATACTTAATTAAATAATGAATTCTTATTTCTATTTTATTAATATTTTATTAAATTAGAAAATATAATTTAAGAACTAATAGATTTAATAATTCTTATCTAGTTTTTATATATCATACTCAAACATGACACGACACTAGCCACTCCTTCTTCATGCAAATTTACCTTCATTTGTGTGGGATCATGTTGTTTTAATATGCCTCATGTTGCAATATTAATATACCTATGTCCTTTTTTTCTTAAAATTATTACACCACAAGATCTTATTTCAGGTCGTGTTTCAAATGTATTTCACCTATGGATGTTTGGTTGCCATAGTTGGATTCTAATACCAAAACCTAAATGGCATACAATTAGAGCTCATTGACAAGAAGGTATATATGTTGGTTTTGATTCACCAAGCATTATTCGTATAGTTAATCCATCAGCTAGCATATTATTACGTGCATGTTTTCAAAATTGTCATTTTAAAGAGAACAAATATCCATCTCTTTAAGGAAGAATATTTAATTAATAAAGAAATATAATATTTATATTTGGAACATCAAAAATATTTATAATAAATCCTAATTTTAGAATATATTTAGTTGAAAGTGAAGTTGCAAAAATTTTGTATCTAAAATGGATTGCAAATGAAACACCTAATGGCTTTAATGATGCACCTCGAATTACAAGAATTTGAATTAATGAGGCTCAGAATGAATCCGCTTAAATTACAATATTACTAACAAATATATCTCAGGTTAAAATATCAGCAATTAAAAGGATTTGGGGACCAAATAAACAACCATGAAAGAAGAAAGCTATAACATGTACTGATTCTGGTATTGTTTCTATGGAAGTTCCTACTAAATCTACAAGACCATCAATTAATGACAATATGTCCATGCACATTATACCTTCACCTCATGCAATAAAAAATCTTAAAATTAAGAGGAATAAAAACAAGTTGAATATAAAATTATTTATTCTATATTGTGCTACAAATGACCTTTGAAGTAGACCATCTATTATAATAGATGAATCATTTGCATTCATCATGGGAGAAGCTCTTTTTTATGAAAAAAATGATCTTGAACCTCAAACCATTCAAGAAGCAATGTGTTGCTCTGATTGGTTAAAATGGAAAATTATCATCAAGGAGGAGTATGCTTCTTTGCATAAGAAGAAAGTCTTTGGTCCAATTGTCGACACTCTTACTTCTGGCCCTGCGGAATATAAGATGGTATTAATATACAAGCGAGATGCTAAGGGTCAAATAATCCGCTATAAAATTCATCTTATTGCTCAAGGATTTATCTAATACTTTGGCATTGATTATAAATCTACATATTCTCCACTCATGGATTCAATTACATTCCAATATATTATTGGAATGGCCATTTATGCCACCCTTGAGATGCATCTCATAGATGTGGTAACTATGTATTTGTATGCTTCACTTAATGTAGATATTTATATGAAAGTTTTACTTGGTTTGAAAATAAGAACTCCAAATGTACATGCTCCAAGACAATATCATGGTATTAAATTAAAGAATGTGTTGTATGGTCTAAAACAATTTGGATGCATGTGATATTAATGTCTTTGAGATTATTTAATTATAAATAAGTTTGTAAGTGATCCATTAATCTCTTGTTTATTTATCAAATGAGATAAAATTGAGTTTGTAATCATTGCTGTATATGTTGATGATCTTAACCTAATGGGTATTAAATCTGAATGCATTGCAGCTATTAACCTACTTATACATGAATTTGAGATGAAAATACTAGAAAAAATAACTTTTTGTATTGGTCTAAGGATTATGCATCTCATAGATGGTAGCATTTTTTTCTACCAAATAATGTATATTAGACAAATCTTATGAAGATGTAATATGATTGATGCTTATCAATTGTCCACACCAATGGTTGGACATAGTCATGATGGTTATGATCTATACCATCTGTACAAGAAAGAAGAAGAATAATAGGATAGCAATATCCATACCTTGTAGAAATTGGAGCACTTTTATATTTAGCTATATCTACCAGACCAGATATTACATTTGCAGTTAGTGTTCTTGCAAGATACAATGCACGTCTAATATTACAACATTTAAATGGAGTCAAACATTTATTATGTTATTTAAAGATATTGAAGATTTGAGATTATACTACTTATAATTTACAAATCTAAAATTGGTTAGATATTATAATGCACGATTTAAATTTGATATTCCAACAGCTAAATCCCAAACAGGCTATGTATTCTTAAGACATGGAGTTGCAATATCATGGAAATTAGTGAAACAAACTATAACTACAACTTCATCCAACCATGCAAAAATTATTGTCTTACATGAAGCATCTCGAGAATGTATTTTGTTGCAATTAATCAATAAACTCATTCAGACAACTTGTGGATTTTCATATGATGATTCTTCAACTATCTTGTATGAAGATAATAGCGTTTGTATTGCACAAATGCAAATTGGTTTTATTAAAGAGGATAGGACAAAGTATATTGATCCAAAGTATTTTAGTTATATCCATAACTTGATTATTGATCAAGTACTTAAGATCAAGAAAATTGAACCTGCAAATAACCTTGCTGATCTCTTTATCAAAACTCTCCTTTTATGCAACCATTGTCGACTTACTTATGGCATTGGCATGCGGTGACTTGCTTTTCTTAAACAAGAAAGTTAATGAATTCTTCAGATAATGTTGTACTCTTATTCATTTATGGTTTTTTCCTTAAATATGATAAAGTTTTCCTAGATAAGATTATAATGAGGCAATATTTATTGATCTTACAAGATTATATAAAAGTATAGATCATAATTCTATGCATATAAGTATTATGACAAGCGAGGAGGAGGTTTGAGAGCATTAAATGTAGCTGGCGCTCTCTACACTATTTACCATAGTCTACAGTATTTATTGTAGCTACAATGTTTGAAATGTAGTGGAGAGACACTGTTTATCTTCTCCCCTTCTCTTTGTATAAGAGATATAATCCTATCAATAAACTTACTTCTTGTGTGTGTATGTTTACATATGTGTGCATATTACTTTTAGCTACTCTTATCTCTCTTTTTCTAAAACATTCTCAACAAATTACACATCATTCAATACAATCTTTAAATAAAGCTACATCTATTTTTCCTTATTATTATTATTATTATTATTATTATTTCCTTTCATTCTACATTTTTTTTAATAAATTTTAAGAAAAAAATAATTTCCTGAATTTTTATGCTTTTCACTTGTTCACTTTTTATTATTTTTTCATCCCATTTGATAAAAAACATTTAGGATTTTAAGGATTTATTGAACTTTTTAAGTTGTTTATAGAGAATAGTAACACAGATCTATTTGGTTGTATATATATATATATATATATATATATGTATGTATATGCACATAATTTTATTTTAAAAAATAAAAATATGACGCCATGATCACCATGGTTGGAAAAATAATAATAGTACCCCAGCCTCAAATTCCTATCCACACTGCCCTGTTCCCATGAGAGAGAACAAGATAAGGGAACAAAGAGAACCCATGTTCCCAAGAAACGTATCTATATACGATACGAATATCGATTACCGTAACGAGTGAGTTTGTGTACTATCTATTATCTGATTGTTTGTGAGGGGGCGAGGGGGCTATCGAGGCTCGCGCGTCTTCCGTGACTCCCTTGAAGCCCAAATCCTCGTCGAAGCTGCTCCGCTTGCGCAATTCCTCGGAGCGTGGCCTCGCTCTCGGATCCCTGCACAACATTCACTTCGTGGTTTTGGCAATTGGCAGTTGGGGTTCCTCCAATTCGGTAGCACTATGGCCACCGCCGCAGCGTCCATGCTGCTGGAGTTTTCGTCTCTGCACGTCGCGGCGTCGGCTTCGGCGACCCACAGGAATGGCAGCGCATCGCAGAGCAATGGGGTGAGCTCGAGAGTGAGCTGGAGTGGCCTGTGGACGGGCGGTGGCGTGCCTTCCGGGGTTGCCAGGGGTTGCCAATGGCGGGACGTGAAGAAGGACGTCGAAGGGAGGGCGCGTGTGTGCGCTGTTGCGGAGCTTTTTGAGTCGGAGGTGTTGGGCACTGAGGATGAGGGCGCGGCCCTTGAGGATGCGCCTGTGAAGTCCGTGAAGCCTAAGACTGGCAAGGCCGCGTTGCCCTTGAAGAGTGACAGGGTGAGTCTGGTTTTGTCTGCATTTTTTTTTTTTTTTTTTTTTTTTTTTTTTTTCCTTCTTGTTGGTCTCTTTGTTTTTTTACGTGGCTTCAGAGCTGGCATTACTGGGGCGAGAATTCGTTTTTGAGTTTGGTGTTGGGAGAATTGTGGCATTCTATCCAGTGTGGGATCTGGAGGGTTTGGTGGGGTTTGGAGACTGTATTCTGGGTCAGCGTGTGTTTCTCTCGATTGCTACATTTCATTGATGTTTGTGCCGCTATCCTCTTTCTGCGCATAGAGTCATGGAGGTTCATGAGTTATGCTTTAGTCCGCGTGAGTGAGTCACAATGTGATGTACGTTATACATGTTAAAATACCTTCTAACCGGCTGCCGTTCCGCGCCTGGCTGACGGTGAAATTGTTGAATGAATCTGTGCTTCTCAGTGTAGTTGCCTGTGAACTCTATATCTTTCGTTTCGTTGCTGCAAGTTAGAATCTGCATTTGCTTGACTTCAATCGGATTTGTAGTTTCATCAATTAGCATTAGCTCTGTGACTTATACAAGGTTCTTATGAATCATGCCTCGCGTATTTTCTCTTTAGAGCTTTGTCCAAGTCGTTGGGCATGGGTGACCAGTCGATTATGTTTCCGCTCATGGAATTCCGCAATGAGCCGTTGCGGCTAGCATTCTCAGCTGCTTTTGTCGGTATTGCAGTGGTCATAGAAATTCGTAGGACTTATCGTTAACGCTTTTTTTTGTAGGCTATTTTTATTTGATAGTCACGTGTAATGTATCTGCGAGCTTGTTGATTAAGTTTCATATCAATTGTCTTCGAAAACATGTTTGCGTAATGTTAGCCTCTTTTTTCGTAACACCTGCCCTCGGAGCTTCATTCCGTTGATGAATGAGCTGTTTATCAATGGCGGAACACTAATCGCCTCCTTACCATCTGAACTTGAATAGTGAGTCCCTAATGAGTTTCATTGATGGGGTTAGTCTCTGATATGCAATATTTCAAGATGGTATAGAAGAGCGAGAGTTTATCCTTATTGTTTTTCTGATTTCTGAAAGTGCTCCGGGTTTGGCAGACAAGGTCAAAGAGATACTTGGAGATTCAGAAACTTAGGGAAAAGAAAAAGGAGTACGATCCTGATACGGCAATTCGGCTGCTCAAGGATACAGCTAGTCTCAAATTCGTTGAAACTGTGGAGGCTCATTTCCGCCTCAACATCGACCCTAAATACACAGACCAGCAACTCCGTGCCACTGTAAATTTTCTGCCCTCTATCGACCTATAATTTTGGTCCGTCATCGTTAAGTCATTCGATCGGTTGGCGTTTCTCTCCGTTTGCGCGTAAGTTTGTGTGCTGGTGGGTTTTTCTGCGCCGTGTGCTGAAGCTCCTGTGAACTATGCAATGCTCTTTTGCTTATTGATTTCAAAACTTGACGATATTGCAGGTCTCTTTGCCGAAGGGAACAGGACAAACAATCAGGGTTGCCGTCCTTACCCAGGGTGAGTGTCTGTCTGAATTAAGTAGTTGATATCCGTAGGGACCACTAAGTTTCATACATTAAGTCACATTAGTTTTGGGGGACTTCGAAATAATCAATAGGTGGCGACAACTTTCCTATTTTGTTCTCATTGCGAAGTGTAAGGTCTCTACTTATGACATGTGGGTCTTGTAAATTTGTAGCACAGCATTCACTTAGTAAGCTATTTTGTGGATTGTAAGAAACTACCAAGTTGCCTTTGTTTCTATTTAGTTTGGATCAGCACTCGGAGTAATAATTTTTCTTACCTTTATGGAAAAGTAGTGATATTCTTATTTTTGCTCGTTTCATTGGGACAGGTGAGAAGCAACAGGAAGCGAAGAATGCTGGTGCTGACTTCGTTGGCGCTGATGATTTGATTGACGAGATTGCCCGTGGTATGATGGACTTCGACAAGCTCATTGCTACCCCGGACATGATGCCCAAGGTTCAACTCTTCCTATTTGAAGACGCTTTTGCGTTCCCTCTATTGTCTTTTCTGTTTGAGACATCCTTCAGTTTATTTTGTAAGATTTATGTTATTTATACCCGGATCCTGTGCTTAGCAGTGTGGGAGGATCATTTCACGGGCTTATATCGTCGTTCCATGCTTAAGCTAGCTGTATATGACAGGTTGCCAGGCTCGGAAGACTTCTGGGTCCAAGGGGTTTGATGCCTAACCCAAAGGCAGGGACAGTTACCGTCGACGTCACAAGCGTATGCATCTGAACCCCTTCTATTGGATCTTACACGTACTACTACTCCTGTTATGATTGTCAATGTCTGATGTCGTTACTGATAGTCTTTGTTTGGATACATAATCGATTTTTTCCTGTTCATTCTTTCCAGTTCACCATCTTGGATTGCTCCTCTGATGACATTACTATTTTTTTAATGCGTTGTGGGCGTCAAATGTAGTCGTGGAACCAAACAGACCACTGATACGCACTCGTAATCCCTTTGCAGGCCATTGCAGAATTCAAGGCAGGTAAGGTGGAGTACCGAGCAGATAAGACCGGTATTGTTCATGTGCTCTTTGGCAAATCTGATTTTTCAGGGGACGATCTTCTGGAGAATCTAGTAGCTGTTGCGGTAATGTTTTCTACCCAAACCCACTTGTATTGTTTCGCATGTCTCCAGAAACATTTATCTATGACGAAACTGGTGCTCGTATCTGCATTCAAGAACCTTGCTTTAAACAATTCATCAATCGCTTTTATATTGAACTACGTTTCATGGATGATGTTTTAACTGTATCTTTTATCTCCTTGCAGAATTCTGTGGATGCGAACAAGCCATCAGGAGCCAAGGGCGTGTACTGGAAGTCGGCCCACGTTTGCACAACCATGGGCCCCTCAATCCGCATCAACGTCTCGGAGTTGAGGGACTACAAGTTCAAGCAAACATAGAGATAACTTAAATTCGGTAGTCCACATTACGCTCTAGGTTTGTTAGTTGTTGTAGAATACGTGTAGACACAAATATTTTGTGCTGCTGACCCTGCTTACATGGGCACTACTTCCGAACTGGAGGTTGTATTCCCAGCATTTGCTATCCGACTTGGACAATTTTAAACTAGGATCACAAGGTATGGTTTTCTTTTTTGACATCAGCCATTCATTGTTTTACAAAGATTGTTTTTCTTGCATTTGGAAGAGCTATTGCCTCTTTGCTGCTATTTGTGCTGAACATGGTTCCCTTTTTCAGTTATCTACCTGGCTTCTCTTTTTTGGTTTTTTTCTCTCCTATAGATGCTTTGTATTCTTGGAAGTTACGACTCACATGTCATGCTTCTTCAACCTCTGAGATTTTGAGATGTAGCAATTTGCTGAAACTTAAATTTAAAACGTGCATAGTTTTCCATCGTAGCTTTGAAATTGCACGAGTAGAATCGTGCTTCAAAAATGTGATGCAAACATGTTTTTTGGAGCGGTCAAAATAAGAATGTTACATTTATTTTGGAAGATTCTAATTCTTTGAACTTGAAATACCAGATATTCGAACTTTCAAATTCAATTACTAAATTTGAACTTTCAGAACGATTCCTTTTGTTGAATTATATAATATGTAACACTAGATGGATAATTACTAGGAGATTTTTCTAGTAAATGAAAATGTGCCAAATATTAAGTGTTAAATATACACAGTGATCTGTAATTTTTTCCTTGAAGTAGTAATTTAAAGTGAAAGTAATAAAAGAAATATATCTCAGAAGTCAACCCTATGTGACTTACATTACCACGGTAGTGTTAAAATTATGCAGAAAAATATGCTACACTGAATAACAATAATTGTAATCATTTTTATTATTGCTTGAAATATTGTCAAGTGTAAGTAAGTAGATCTAAATCACTCAAAACATAGATAGAATGCACAAATGGGTATTAAATGTTACTAAAAAATCATCTATTAAAATCTCATTTGATTGGTTTATATATATATATATATAGTTTATTTTTCAAAATGTTTTTATATAAATTATATATAGAAATATTTTTTTATGTTTTTTTAATTAAAAAAAATACTATTGAATAGAGTAATTGGAAATAAACCTTGATTTATGGATGTAGTTTCTATTAGTAAAACATAAAAGCTTCAATTCATAATTATGATTTTGAAAATATTAGTATCCTTGTAGTGTTAAATTTATAAACCAATTATTTAGAAGAATAAATAATATTAAAAAATTAATCATTTTTATTATTTATGTAGAATATTTATATAGATAATTTATTCAAAAAATTATTGTGCACTGATAAAAGATTATTTCAAAGATTATAAATGATGAAATTGAAAGATTACAAAAGTTTTATTTCAAAGATCTTTTGTAATATAATAATCAAATCTTCATTATAATATAAATTTTTGTATTTAAATATTATTTAGATTTTAAATTTTAAATTATTACCAAAATGGAAATATATTTAAATTATGAAAAATTATCATTTATTCTTAACTCTTTAATCAATAGCAAGAGATGAAACAACACAATTTCTTTTTGTAAAACATGTTTTATCACTACAGTTTTTTAAGGACTACAAGGATTATGTACCAAATGCCAAAGTTGAAAGATACTTCTATCAATAAGTTTCATAAGTATTCATGTTCTATTTTTTATTTTTAGATGTATAATTATATTCAAATTTAATTTTCTAAAAATAAAATTATCTTTTATCTTCAATATAAAAGATTTAATTGTATGACTTTATTATTTATCTTTTAACTTTATGAATTTGAAAGCATTCATAAAATAATAGTTATAAAATATAGAAATACTTTTAAAAAAATCCTTTAAAAAAATGTTCTATAGTCTTTAAAACTACAATTGTACAATATACTATTATAATATTATTAATTATGTATAATCAAAAAATTATAATAAAATATTATTTTTTAATTATATAATAAGCTAAATAATATACATAATGGTAATTATAAGGATTGAAAGTATTCTTGATGTCTTTATTCCATTTTCTTGCAATCCAAGTTGTGATGAAATAGTTGTTGAATTCCTTTTAAGCTAAATTGCATTAGATAAGCCGAACATTGTAGGGTGAGTTTTTGACATGAAGACCTAGGGGATGTTAGGTGGTATAATGAAGAAGTGATAGCTAGTGAAAGTAGTTGAAATTTTTTGGACATGTGAGTATCAAAAACACGGTTTGCTACATTTGTGTATCTTGCTGATTTTAGACCCAAGCAAAAAAAACATACTTTTGATGATATTAATAAGTTGGTTTCAACCAAGGTGCCATTGAATGAGAATGCAGATTTGTACCAAACAATAATCAAGTGTCTTTTATATGGGCCATGTAGGGTGGCATATTTCATATATTTCATATAAATTTTGTAATGTGCTTGAGTATGCTTCTTTTAAGATCTAAAAATTGTTGAAAACATTGAGAACCTTTCTTTCCAAAGTTCTTACAGTCCATTGGACTTCTTTTAAGATGATGTAAAGTAGGATGCATGTTCTAGGAAAGCTTAAGTGAATTAAAATTTTGTACAACTTTATAATTTATTTGCTATTATCATGTTGTACTACTTTGCCTTTCAACTAAAAATATTGTGGAAAAAATGCCTTCATGAATTCATATAATTTCAACAAAGAAAAATGTACATTATTGAAGATGCAAGCAACATTACTTTGTTGATGTTGGAAGAGAAGCTGGCCTATTTAAATAAGAACTTGAGTGACTTTTCAACAATATTGTTGGCAATTCCACTATTGGCAATAGAAAGGATAGATCTACAACTTCAAGCAAAACTTTACCATGATTGCATAGCATTTCAATAGTAGGTGGACTATGACTTTTAATGGTTGAATTCAAAACAAGTCCATGCAATTACTAATATTCTTAATGTTGTACAATTAAAGAATCAATTTATATTTAATTTTGATGGTCTTGGAAGCTTGCATAAAATATTTGTATAGAACATGTTCTTGGCATTAATATGAGTACATGGTGATATTACCATTACGGTGGCTTTATCAAGTATTGTTACTTTATTATTGTCATTGACATACATATTTATTCTAACAGTTATTTACATGTTATGAATAGATAAAAGTATGTTAGTTTGATAATATCTTGTAAAAAAGCTTCCTAAAAGCTTCATAGACACGATTTCATCTTTATACATATCTATAGGCAATTAATAGGTTAAAAACTTCGCCAACAAATTAACCATAAGTTGCATGTGTTGATAGCTTGTGGTATAAGCTAATGATGTAGCATACATATAAGAAACTTGTCTTGCAAGTTAAGACATGTGTCTTGTAAATTGAACACATGCTGAAAGTCTTATAGAATGTTGTTATGTAGCTTCTAGTTAGATAGTATATATGGAGATAAAAGTCAAGCCTTCTTTAATCTTGTCAATGTCTTTCTAGTCCTTGATCATGTTTTAAGATTTTCTAATCTTCTTGTCTTTGGCAATAGTCATTCTAGTTAATATCATACCATCTTTGAGTGATTTTTTAGCCTTTTTAAGTGATATAAGAGTGTATTGATCTTTTAGTTCTTATAGATTAATATTCTTGAGAGTTTGATAAGAATGCTAATTCATTGCTCTTGTCGTGTTTTAGAAATGAATAGACTATCCCACTTCTACTATTGTGTTTTGAAAGTTGTAGACTATCCACCTTCAATCTAATATTTTAGTTCCTTAATAATGATTTTTTTCCTTAAAAAGAGTGGACTATTGCTCTTTTTAGAAACTTTCATTTAGTATTAGAGGTTGTAGATTACCTTCTTCTAATTTGACTTTTAGATTTGTTTTGAGTTATTTATGGAAAGAAAAATTATGAATGCTATGAAATTAAAATAGAATTGTAACTATTGTAAATCTTCATGAACTTGTCAATATTCTTAAGTGGAAATCTCACATATTTTTAATATCAACCATAGAAGTAATATTCCAATGCCAATAGAAGAGATCAACAATGACATTCAAAATCTATGCCAAAAAATTGTGCAATTGAGAAAAGCAAGTAAATCAAGCTCATAACTAAATCTAAAATATTTTTCTATTATAAATATAAGAAAGACAAAGATAAGTATGTTGGAGAAGTTTGATAGAATAAGATTGAAGTTTTGAAGATTTCTACAATAAATAAAGCTCTATCTAAAGTTGCATCTTTCTCAATATCCTAATGGATTTACTCAAGTTGGATTTATAGATGCACTTCTCTCTAGAATTGCTCTCTCTTGGTTTCTAACTTTGATAAAAAAGAATTCATAACTACTCTATGATTTAAATTTATTTTTGAAAGTTTTCATAGCCATATTTAGAGAAAGTGATTGAGAAAGGATAGTAGATATCAAACTTATATCTTTACAATAAAGATCACGTTTAGCCACTATATGTACTACTAAATTCCAAAACCTCACTTGCAACATGGATTAGAATGATCATGCCCTTATCAATCAATTTTGATATGAATTAAAAGATAATATCAAAGATTTACTATTGATAATATTAAGAGCAAATTCATTAGAGCAATTTATTACTTAAGCTATTGCATGCAATAGTTGACTCTTTAAAAGATATCAAGAACAAAGATTTGATTGGAGAGGTATAAGTCAATTCATGGCAATAGCTTCTAAGTTCATTGCATCTTATTCATCAAGACTAAAACCTATACAAATTGATATAGTGTCATGTTGCAACACGACTATATGGTGAAAATATGAACAAAAATGATATTATGATTCAATTTTATCATCTTGGTTCAATAGTAATTCTAAACATTTAAATAAGGCTTTTATGAAAGCTTCTTAGTTTATTTTTATTATTTTAATAGCTAATAGATTAAAAGTTAATTAACAAATCTACTTTATAGGTTAAAAAAACTTTTCTAGTATCTTAAAAAGGCCATAAATTGATAAAAAATAAAATAGATTAAATAAATATTTAATATGGTCAATTTTAGAATAAAGTTAAAGATATGGTCGTGCTAAAAATTCCAATGAAAGGTTGGACTACTACCTAAGAGATGATTGTTTGTAGGTCAAGATTGAAATTAGACCTTTAGCCACTAAAATGGTGGTTTAGGGTAAAATAAAGAAGATTTTTAAATTCAAAGAGATGAATCAAAGAACTCACATTAAGCTTGTTTTAAAGTTATAAAGCTTATTTTTATGG